GAGGGTGAGGTTAAGCAGCAAGACTTGTCATATAGCCAAACGTGTAGGGGTGGGTGGGGTGCTTGTTTTTGCCAGCTTTCTGCATGTTTTTGAGGTTCCAGCTCAGCAGAACTGGTAAGACATGCTCATCAATTGCTCTCTCTTTCTTCCTGAGTTATTCATGTTCTACATTTCCCCCTTTTTATTATCCTTTTTGCATGTACCTGGAGGACCCAGAGCCAGGCCCACCCATTGCCTATTGGGGTTGCCCTGTACCCCTAGCTTTCCTGCAGTGGGCCAAGGAACAGGGCTGGGACCTCTGCTAGAGTCTGCCTGCACCACTCAGATGTTGCTGTATAACAATCAAGCACCAAGGATTTGTGACACACAATAATAAGAATTTTTTTTCGGTTATCCATCTACAGGACGGCTGTGGGGTTGACCTAGACTGTGTGGGAATAGGCAGACCTGCGGGCCTGTGGGTCAGCTGCACCGCTCGGCCTGGTGCTTCTCTATGGGAATCATCAAGCTTGCCAGGACCTGTTTTGTTGGGCACAAGAGAACTGGTCCAGCAGTGCCCACATGCTCAACTCTCTCCTTGTGCCGGTCACATGGTCAGCTTCAGCAGAATGGGGAAGCTTGTGCCTCCCTGCGGTGGGGGTGGAGAGTGATTGCTAAGAACAACCCCAATGATCCGTGTGTGGTCACACCCCCATCTACTCTGTACCTGGTGTCCTTGGGTCCAGAGTGCTCCGGTTGGATTTTCCTGGCCTGTCTTAGGGAGAGGCGGTTACTGCCTTTAGAATGCAGTGGAGAGGGCCTGGGGAGAGCTTCTAACTGTTCTTTCAACAGACTTCCAGGCTGCTCCCCACCCCAACCCCACTCCCTGAAGTTTTCAGCCCCCTGCCTCACCACCTGTGCTATCTGAGCCCAGTAGTCTGGAGCCTCCTTGGGACTGTGCAAAGCCAACTGGCTTGCAACTCTGTCTCCAAGGCCTAGCCCCTTCCCACCAGGCGACAAGACAGCAGCCTTAGATCTGCCTTTCCTGGACTCTGTTAAATCATTTACCACCTCTCCATCTGTTCTGTGCTGTGTGCTGCGGTCTGGTGTCACAGGTGTCTCCTGGGTTCTTTGAAGATGAGAGTTCGTGTTTCTATTTTGTCTTTTCCTTCTTGTCGAGGCTGGTTTTGGTGGGGGGAGGTGGCGGAAGCTTCGCTACCTGGCACCTGGGCACCAGAGTGGTTTTATCTTGGTGTTGGGTAGACTGCGGCAGACCCATCCCACCTCCTGGCAGGTGCTGATTTACATGTCTGCCTCTCCTGCTGGCCTCTGAGTCCCTGGGGGGTTGAGGGCTGAGTCTCGCCCCTTTCTGTACCTCTTTCTGGCCACACAGCTGGCTAGATTTGACGAGTGAGTGCTCTTAGTTTCATCTTCCCTGAGGCCTTCAGAGGCCTTCTAGAATAATCTGAAAGCTCTTTCTCCCTCCCCAGGACCTACCCTACCCTGCCACCCCTATCCCGTGCAACCTAGGTAGAGTCCAGTGGCCCCAGCAGTGAATATTTCTTGGCGGGGGAGGATGGCAGGTAGGAAGGAGAGAGAGAGAAAAAGCAGAGACCGCAGGCACGGACTAGGGAAACATGGCGCCAGGACAGCATCTGTGACCTGTGAGGATGCTGGGATGCGGCTGGGCCCATCTGGGTGGCTCTTCTGCTCCATGTGAGGTTAGCTGGGGTCAGAGTCACCTGGAAACCTGACTGAGCCGACATCCCCAAGATGGCAGGTGTGGGTGAGCCCTGGCAAGGCCGGCTGGAAGGCTGAGTTCAGCTGGGTCTTTCGCCATGAAAATGCACCTGCTTATATGTTTTATCAATGCCCATTTAGTCAGCACCTGCAAGGTGCCAGGTCTCCACGCATTCTTTGCTTGACTCGGCAGCCTCCCACTGGACTGTGAGCCCAGGAGCGGACCCACGCTTGCCTCCTCCTCGGTCCCTTGGCACCACAGCAGTAATGAGTTGCTGAATGATTCAATGGTGAACTGAATGAGCCCGTGATTGTGTAAGATTTTCGAAGGTGCCCATGGTATCTGGGTGGATGAATATGTGTGTTCGGCAGAGCTGGAGTCCAGCAGAGAGAGTGGACGTGTGCAGGCCAGCAAGGAGAGGCCATTGTCACTGTCCTGTGTAGGGACGCAAGGCCTAGAACGGGAAGTGGCAACAGGACAGATAAGGCGATGGGTTAAACAGATGTCAGGAGGCCAAGTTGTGCAAGCTCAGTGCAGTGAATGAGGGAGCGAGGGGCTGGGAGGAGCCAAAGGCGCCCCAGACTGCTGCTTGGGAAGAAGGAGCAAGCAGCAGAGACGGAGAAGCCCCAAGGGAGGCAGTCTCATCGGCAGGTGCTCACTGCCCCCAGGTGATGTCTTCATTGCAAAGAGCCGCTTCTGAGGCCCCCGAGCTGTGATGCCCAGCTCAGGCCCAGGGCTCCTCAGTGCTCGGAGGGGCTGTGTGAGTATCATCATGTTGTCAGCGCCTGTGGCTACCATCAGTTCTTCCTGTTGCAAAGTAGTTTCCTTACCTACTTCTCTCAAGGTTTCTCTTTCTATCAGAGAGGCCCCTCGTCCTCAATTTGCAGAACAGAAATGAATGACTCACCCCATGCCCAGCAAATGCCAGGCATGGTGGTTCAGTGCAGAGAGCCTCAACGAGGAGTCCTAAGACCTCAGGTCCAGATGCACTGGCTTGCAGTAATGGAATGACTGGCCAACGTGCTGTAAAAGGTTTCATTTTCGATTTATTTCACTGCACGTCAGTCACTGGCACTGGTTTGGTCCATGACCATGTGATCCTGGGTCAAGCTCTTGTTATCATTCTGCTCCTCCATCCACACAGGCTCCAGGTATCTCCATGTACGTGGCCTCAGTTTCCTAAGATAGCTGCTGCAGCTCCAGACATCTCATCAGCATCCACAAGGAAGCAGAAAGGACAGGGGGTGGCATCTGCTGTGTCTATCATTTTTATTTTGTGAAAGGAAGCAAATCTTTCACAGGAGCAGCCTTCCAGTGAACTTTCACTTAGTACCTTCACCAGAACTGTGTGACTTGGGAACCCCAACTGCAAAGCATGCTGGGGAACAAATATTTTTTGTCTGGGGCTAGATACATTGTTTCTCTGCACAAAAAGTAGGATTCTTTTAGAAAAGAGGATGGGTGTGGTGGTAAAGGGTGGAGAGCCCAGGGTCTGCCTCAGCGAGCTGAACTCCTGGGCCTCTTTCTCTTTTGCAAAACTGGTCACGCTAACCTTACCCTGGGAGGCCCCGAGGAGATAAGTGAGATCCCATATGCTAAATGAGGCCACAGAGTGGCAAGAGCATGTTTACTGACATGTATTGGTGTAAAGTAAGGGCTGTGCCCCCTGGGCAGGCAGAGAAAAGGCACACTGGCAGAGGCCTCCACTTTCCCCCCACCCTCCCCCCTCACGCCCCGAAGGCAGGGAAGTTCAGGAGAAGAAATTATTCGAGGAAAGGGAACCAGATCAGCTTGTGCAAAGGGCTCAGGTTAGAGAAGTGTCAACATGACTTTGGGGAAATGAGAGCTCGGGCTGACAGTGGAGATGTCTGCTCAGGAGGAAAGAGAGAGGTGGAGTGAGACCAGAAGTGGGGGCGCCAGTGGAGGGGGCCCAAATTTATCCTGAGACCCCCTTCCCTATGGGGAGGAGAGGGAGTTTCCCTGGGACTCTGGCTGCCTGGAGGGGGCGCCCGAGGGCTTTTCAAGTTGGAGCCACACACCCACGTGTGTGTTTGTGTCATGCCTGTGTGGGTTTTAAGTTCTTTTGGGGGGGGGGGTTGGGGAGTGGAGGGGGTGGGGGTTTTTTAAGAAGTAACTTTCAAAACATAACAGCCTGCTGGGAGCTGAAACTAAGAGAGGCCTCAGCAGTCCCTTCCGAGAGCGAGGCGGGGAGCTGGAGGCCCCCCCAGAGCTTCAGGGTGCCAGGGGCGCAGAGGTAGAGGAGAGCAGAAATGGGAACCCACTGCACTCTCATGGCTGAGGCCTGCGGGGCTTCGGTGTTGTTGGGACAGAGCTTTGGGCCTCTTTTTTATTCCCCCATTTCAGTCTGTCCGGAGCATGGGGCCCGGGAGGGCAAGCTCTGGCGAACCCCACCGGGTCCCCCCCGCCCAGAACAGTGGCCGGCACAGCACAGCGTAGCTTCATGAACGAGTGGGTGAAGGCGACTGAGCAGAAGTGTTAAGTGAGAGGATAAAGTTAAGCTAGAGAGGAGTGGTCATCCGCAGGAGTGTAAGGCCTGGCAGTTATACACTAGCAGACAGTAAGGTCGAAGAGGCCCATGCCAAGCGCTGAGGACTTTCTTAGGGAACCTTTCCAGCGCCCCACCGCTTTGAAAGAACTGCGCTTCGCTTCATGCCTGCGGGGATCAGCATGGCTTCCACACTGCTGGACAGTTTCCTGTAACCTCCGGGGGGGGGGGGGACTGGGGATTTCTGCTTGTTGGGCACCCATGTTCCCCAATCCCAGCAAGAACCCCAGGCCCCACTGGGACGCTCACTCCTCCACCCCAGTGAGTGCAGTAAGTGTGGTTTGCGCAAGGATGGAGCCTTGTCCCAGCCTGACCAATCAGAGCACAGCGACGCCTGAACAAAAATGATTGGCTGAAAGGCAAGGCCAAGCCGCAGGCTGGCCAATCAGAGTAGACTTCCGTAGAACACCTTGCTTTCTTTGCTGACTTTGAACCTGGACGGATAAAGCCCTGAGAGTCTCCCGCCTGAGAATGAAGCTGACAGCTAGCCGCAGAGCAAAGCAAAGCCCTGATCAAGCTGCACCTGAAGTCGTATCTGTCCAAGGTGGAAACAGTACATTTATTTTCTGTTTAAGCAGGTTGGCTGGGTTATCTATTTGCCATAGCAAAAAGTCCTGACTGGCAGGGTCTGAACGTTTTAAGACTCACAGGCCAATGCAGCTGGGAATTCTGTGACATAAAGGATTCAGCAGAAAGACATAAAGGATAAAGGAGTCAGCTACAGCCTGGCTCTTGATTCAATGGGAAATACCAGTTTTATTTGTCTCGTGGCTCTCAAAAAGGAAAACAAGGACCATGGTATCAAATATTTAGATGAGTAGAACTTCAGACTTCAGACAAGCAGGACAACCACACTGAAGGAGACACCCGTAAGGCATGAAGATGGCGGCTGAAGGCCAGTCTGCCCAGAGTCCAGGGGAGTCAGGAGTGGAGTGTGACTGGCCATTTGTGGCAGCCGGCACTAAACACAGTGACAGAGGTGTGACGCTTGGCCGCACCTGGCCCAGAGAAAGCAGGGTATGAAGAGTCAGGACACAACGCCTGCAGAACCACAGCTTCCCGGCTCCTGGTGCCTCCAGTTCAGTGGAGATGATGAGCCAAGCTCTGCAGCAGTCTGCTAGCAAGTTCAACAAGGAGGGGACAGCATGACAGCGGGGTGCCAGCGGGCGTTGGGTGACGGTCCTTCAGCAGAACCGTCACCTGGCTGTGAGGACTGGGTGCCACCTGGATGGAAGAATTTGGGATGCTCAGAATCACAGCTCCCATGCACTCCCAGCGCCCAGCCTTAGCTGCGGGGGGCTGGGGGGCAGCCTGCCACGCCCCGCAGACGCTCCTCCCCTCTCGCCCCCCACCCCTGCTCCCGGAAGCCCGAGGGCCGCCACTCCGGGTCCCAGCTCGGTCGCTGTGCCTCTGCCACACATGTGGGTGTTGGGTCTCTGGCTGGGCTGGACTCCCTGGGGGGCCTGTCTGCCCCTTGTCCTCCCTCCCCCACCTCCTGCAGGCCGGCAGGGAGGGAGCTCAGTGACACCCACGCTTTGGCTCATGTTACCTGGCATTTGTTGGAGTGTCCTTTGGGAACCAAAATCAGTTAAGCTGCACTGCCTCAGGCAAATGGGGAAACTGAGGCTGCTTTGAAACTCGCTCTCTGTCTGGCTTAAATGCTGCTCCTACTAACGGAGGGTACTGAGCACCCCTCCATTGGACACCCCCCAGCTGGCACCTGCTGTTTGTGTGTGTGTGTGCATGTTGGGGGGTCGTGAGGCATGGGGGAGCGCCTTACCCCTAAAGGATGCTGCATGCACGCTTCTGCTGCCGCGTGGGCTGGGGACACAGAACGGCCCGGATCGCCTCGTCAAAGACAGTTTTCAGGCCTCGCTGGGTGAGGGCGGAGCACTCCAGGTACTTCACAGAGTCTGGGGGGCAAGGGGCAGAGGTCAGATCCCGCAGGGGTTGGGCAAACCCTGCCCAAGTCCCACGACTGCCAGGCTCAGGGACCATTCAGGTCACCGGGCTGCGTCACTCAGCGCGGGTCATTACCCCTCTGTGCCTCAGTTTCCCCATGTTTAAAATGGGGTGAAGAACCTCTGTGCCTCTCTTGGACACATAAACCTTCGTTTTCAGAAGGCAGGTAGGAATTTTGGTGATTTCCTGGAAAGAAGGGAACACAATATACAGCGACCAAATCTCTCTGCACCTTACTTTCTTCTAGAAAATAGTCACCTTCCCGCCTCCCTGCTTCTCCCGGGAGGTCTGAGACCCCGGGCCCCCCACCAGGCCCTCCTAAGTGCCATCTATCAACTGGCATTGCCCACTGTGCAGAGGGGGGCGCCAAGGGTCACAGAGAGGTCATGAGCTGAAAGGGCTGGACACGTCTCTCCGACCGGGGCGGGCCACCAGGGGCTCCTCCGTGAGAGCGCTCACAGCCGGAGCCCGGGGCGCACACGGCCAGAGGCAGGGTCCCCATCTCGAGGCAGCGTCCCGTGACCTCCTGGAAGGAACCTGCGGTAGTCCCATGACTACTGCACCCCAGTTTTCCTGAAGTGAAGAACCACAAAACTGCTTCTCCGAGAAGCCTGAGGGCTGATTTCAGAAACAAGAGAAAAGAGGCGGGCAGGGGACACCTCCCTGGCTCTGAGCTGGCCCTTCTGCAGCCCTGTGGGGAAACCCTGCTTCCCAGATGAGGAGACAGGCCCAGAGAGGGGCGGCCATGGCCCACGGACACACAGCGGTGGGGGGGGCAGCCGCAGGTCGGGGGGAGCCCACTGCGCCGGAGCCAGGAATCTGAGCAGGGACAAAGCCAGCTGGCTGGCCCCCGCCATGCCCGAGGACGGGCTTGGGGGGCAGGTGTCAGCTGTCTGAGTTGGGGGTGAGGGCTCAGCACCAAAACCCTCTGTGCCTAGATAGTGTCAGTGGCGTTTGACCACTGTCTCCCTGCCAGGAACCACCCCCAGTGCCAGCTCTTCCCTCTCCCCAGCTGCCTCCCTCTTGGCACCCACTGCCCCTTGCTCTTCTTGGCTCCTGGTGACCAGCGTCGCTGGGGCCTGGGCTGGGGGCCTGGGCTGGTCTCAGCTCAGCCTCTGACCAGTCCCCTCTGCGCCTCCGTCTCCCACCTGTCGGGGACATGCTCTCGGGTAATGAGGACCTGAGGTGACTGTGGGGAGCCAGGCAGGCCCAGTTTCTGCTGGGTGTCCTGGAGCCAGTGATTCTCCCTGAGCCTCAGTTTCCTCCTCTGCAAAGTGGGGGTGATAAGACCCCTCCTTCAGAGCTGCAGTGAGAAACAAGAGGGGTGCGTGCAGCCCAGCGCCTAGGAGGGCTCGGCCCCTGTCAGCTGTGATCATCAGGAGAGGCCAGAGAGGCCACGGCTCGACCTCCAGGACTCAGGAGGGCCCAGAGACTGGGGCGGCCGCTGCATTCACCAGTCCTGCAGCACCCCGGGGCCCCTGCCTGGGATGGGTCCTGGCAAGGTCAGAATCACTGCCTCTGCCCACCTCTGCCTGGAGTCAGCTCCATGGGGGGCTGGCTGGGGGGCATGGCAGAACCCTAGAGTGAGCTCCTTGCAGAAGAGAGGCACCCGGGGATTTGTGGAGGCCAGCTGTGTGGAGGGAAGACGTGCTCAGAGGTGGGGGGCGCAGGCCCGAGGGCACAGTCCCCACCGCCTTCTCCTCCCGGTCAGACCAGTAGTGCAGTTCTGATACTGAGGAGAGACCAGCAGGCTGGGAGCCAGGGCCCAGGACGTGGCTGGGGCCAGGGCAGAGCAGAGCCCGAGGCCCTGGGGAAGATGGCCCTGTCAGGCAGGAGGGGCGGTGACTGTGGTTTCTCTTCCTGTGAAGAGATGAGTCCCCAGGGCCCTCCTAATTCCGGCGGAAGGAAGAACACGCTGAGGCAGGACCAGGGTGGGGAGGCCTGACCTATCGGGGTGAGCGTGGTCTGCAGGACCCTGTGACAGGGCAGAGGGCCGCACCCCGGGTCACTGATCCTGGCAGTCAAGCTCAGCTGGGGGCCCCCGGCTGTTGGGCAGGTGCCCTGGACCAGGACTGGACCAGGACCGCAGGCCTGGATGCGGTGGGGAGGCCAGAGCTGCTGCCCCACGTCCGTGGTGCACCCGGACCACACCTGCTGCGTTCAAATCCCGGTTGCCGCCTACTAGCTGTGTGGCACTGAGAAATCACGGCGGGTTTTGGAACCACAGGGCTGTGCTCCGGTGGAGAGGCGGGCTGGGAGGCCGGGCTGGGAGAGGCGGCGAGCCGGAGGCAGAGGGAGGCGCCACCCTTCAGACGCCGCACAGAGACCTCCTCCAGGAAGCCTCCCACGAGAACCACGCTGCCCTTGCACAGCCACGGCACAGCCCCCCGCCTGTGCCCGTCTGCCCAGAGCACACGCGTGCCGGTAGTGAGCACCTGCCGCGGTGACCGCCAATAGTAGCGGCAGCGTGAGCTGCCCCAGCACCCTCGTGAGTACCTACTCGTTCAGTTCCCCTGCCTGCGGCTCTCGTGAGTGCCTACACCTGCATGCCTTTTTCATGTACAAATGGAAAAACTAGGCACAGAGAGGCTAAGTGATTTGTCCGAGGCCACACAGCTGGGTGGCCAGGCCCATGGCCTGGAGCCCATGTCTGCAGTCACCCCGAGGCTGCGTGGGGACCCCCCGCCCCCCGCCTCCAGCTCTCCTCTCTGGGCCCAAGCCCTACCGATCTCCTTGGCCAGCGCCAGGCCCTGGGGGTAGCTAACAGGCATGAGCTTCTTCTCCTTCAGCTTCTCGATGGTGTCCTTGTCGTCCCGCAGGTCCAGCTTGGTGCCCACCAAGATGATGGGTGTGCTGGGGCAGTGGTGCCGCACCTCGGGGAACCACTAGGCAGGGAGGCGGGGTGGGAGGTTGTGCGGGACGGGAGAACGGCACAAGGTTGTGCAGGACAGGAGGGGTGAAGTCGTTCAGGATGGGGGTGGCAGGGTGCAAGTTGTGCAGGCAGTAGAGGGAGCATGAGGGTGGGGGAGGCATGGGGACCCCGAATTGTGAGAGGATGAGCAATGGGCATGAGCAGGAGGCGGGTGTGAGGTGGTGCAGGCAAGAGAGAAGACGGGGTTAGAGTACGCTGAGACTCAGGTCAACTCCCCCAGCCCCCTCGGACACCCCCAAGCCTCACCCTGTCACCCCCGCTCCTGGCTGGCATTGAGGCCCCTCTCTGTCCGCACCCTCTGCACCCCAGCAACAGGCCAGTAGTGTCCACTCCCACCCTTCTGCCACCTGCCCTTGGCTCTCAGGTCACCTGCCCCTGCGACCCCCACTCTGTGCAGCTCACCTTGGCGCGGACATTCTCATAGGAGGCCGGGCTGACGAGGGAGAAGCAGATGAGGAAGACATCCTGGGGGCAGAGCGGGCGAGGGGCTGGTGAGGGGGTGCAGCAGAGACCCACCTGAGCCGGGGGCCCTGGGGTCCTTCCAGCCTCCACTGCCAGGCTGCTGCTGTCCACTTTCTAAAGGCCAGGCCTGCTCTGGGCAGTTAGGCCTCACAGGGCTCTGCACTGAGTGAGCTGCCCCCCTCCACAGTGGGAAAATGGGGGGGGCGTCAAAAGTCACCAGCTTTGCCACTGAGGTCCAGAACCCCTACCCCTCACCAGACACCCCCTCTCCCCTTCAGGTGCCCCGTCCTTTCGGGCCCCCTGGGATGGAGCTCCCGCGCCTGTGGCCCTGCCCCACCCCCGCCCAGCATGGGGAGCGCACGGTCCCGCAGACCCACCCGGGCCTGCACAACCCACCGGACGCCGGCCCGGAGCCCAGGAGGCAGCGAGGCTGGGACGGGCACAGCCGCAGGAGCAGGGCCGGGGAGGGCTGAGGGGAGGGCGAGGTCCCCCCAGGCAGAGTGGGGGGCCCGCAGCGGCGGGCGGGGCAGCGCACCGTCTGTGGGTAGGAGAGCGGCCGCAGGCGGTCGTAGTCCTCCTGGCCCGCGGTGTCCCACAGCCCCAGGTTCACCGGCTTGCTGTCCACCATCACGTTGGCAGAGTAGTTGTCAAACCTGCGGGCGAGAGGGACGGTCACTCCCGGCCCGGGGCCCAGCCCCTAGCCTTGCGCAGAGGCCAGGCCCGGGGAGGGCGCCCGCAGGACTGAAGGCGCACGGCACCGGCCGCTGAGTTCCGTCTGTGCTTTTCATTGCTGATTCATTACATTAAGAAAATATTAAATACATAGCGCATCAGACGGAAAACACCGTTTTGATCACTTCTCTGTCCTTTCCTATCTGGGAAGGTGACTGTCCCTGCAGTCCAAGGCCCCACCTTCCTAAGCAAGCGCCTCCCACCTCCTGAGCTGGACACTGAGGCCGGTCCCCCAAGAGTTGCCGACTCATCCCCTCGGGGGGGGGGGGGCTCCCGCAGGAGCAAATCCTCAAGACAGTGGTACAGGCGGCTTCCTGGGAAGTGACCCCTGCAGCCCCCCATGGGGGTGGGGAGGAGGCGGAGGGGACAGCAGTGGACTGGACGGCCGCTGTGCTGTTAGTGCTGTGGGCAGCCGGGCTTGGAGCACCTGAGAGCCCCGCGGAGAGCAGGCAGGAAGCAGGCATGTACCCGTCATCCCCGCCTGCGGGGCCCGAGGGTGTCCTGGGGAGCCAGTGAACTCCTTGACCGTCCAGCCCGTCCGGAGTGGCCACCGTAGGCCCCTGGCACACACCAGAAAGGCGAGCAAAGGGCCAGGCTGGGCGCGAGCGTATGTGAAAAGCCCCGGGGGCCAGAGGACAACCTGGGCATCCGGCCGCCTTGTTCATCAGCCCAGCAGTGTCCTTCCCGGAGCGGGAGCGGGGCCAGAGAGTCCAGGGAGGGACCAGCCTAGTGAGAGAGGGGCGCGGTCTGGCCCCACCGCCCGGCCCACTGCCCTGTGGCACAGCTGTGCTTCCAGAGAGGCCAGGGCCACCGCCCGTCTCTGCCCACCGAGACCAGCTGCATGGACACTGGGCCTCGATCCCGGACTTGCTGCTCCTGGGCAGGGCTGGCGCTGCCCACCTCCCTGTGCCCGTCCACGCGGCAGCCTGCGGGGACAGCCCCCCCCTTCTTGTCCAGAGGTCCCAGCCCCTGCCACATGGCCCTGCGCACCGCCCAGTCCTGGCTCCTGCCTGTGCCTCTCTCTGGATCCCTCCCAGCCCGTTCACCTTCGTCTCCTGCTCGGGCTTCAAAAGTCTCCCCGGGCAGTTCCTCCTCTGAGGGGGCTCCTCCGGGTCACCCCGTCCCCCGCCCCCACCTGGAAAGAGCTGGCCGCGCCTCCCTCCGCCCTGACCTTGAGCAGCCACCCAGCTTCATGCGTGGGCCCCGTCCCGTCATGGGCAGTGGGGTCCCTGGGCACAGCCAGGCCTGCTGGTCTCTGCGCCTCAGGCCCGGCCCCCAGCGCACGCGGGTGGACGGAAGGAGCCACTGAACTGAAGCCCTCGGGCACCGCCTCCTCTCAGCCCAGCAACAGACTGCAACAGACTAATGCATCAGAGTAGTGCCCAGGACCCAGGAGAGAGCCTGGGCACAGGCCCGGAGTGGCAGCTAGACGCTGTCAACACGCTGGGCTTCTGCGGCCCAGGAGCGTGTCCCCAGGCACCTCCTGCTCACCTCCCTGTTCCCGGAGGCTCTGCTCTCTCCTGCCTGCGAAGCTCCTGCAAACACTCCTTCCCTGACATCCCACTCTTCTCCTATGCCGGGCTCGACCTTATTCGTCCTCCAGCTCACAGTCACCTCCTCCAGGAAGCCTTCCCAGTCAGCAAACCCTGGGGCCAGCTCCCAGAAGAGCAGCGACCAGGCCTGGCTTATCCCTCGCTGCCCTGGAGCCCAACACAGTGCCTAGAACACGCAGGTGTTCTACATACCTGCTCCAGGAAGCACCAGGGAGAGGCCACCTGTGTTCTTTGGAGTCAGCCAGAAACACCTCTGGGACGAGCTCTCTCCTCTCCTGTCCAGTCTGACATTCTGGTGCCAGAGCTTCCCCAGACTCCTTGAGCCGAGGGCTTCTCTTCCCTGGGTCACGCCTGGGTCTCAGGGACTCAGCCACGGGAAAAGCTGGTTCCTGGAAGCCCGGCGCCTACTCTGGGGTTGGCAGGGGCGAGGGCCTCCGTACCCTTAGGTCATGACGCCCCACGTGACCCGGGGCAAAGGATCTCATGTGATTCCCATCAGACATGTAAGGAAACACGTGTAAGGCCCAAAGAGCTCATGCCCTCAGCAGCGGGCGCCCAGCCTTCTCTCTGTGACCCCATGAACAACAAGAGGGCTACAGCCCCAGCCTGTCAGCCAGACAGGTGTCCAAGGTGCCCTGTAAAACCTGGCCCCAGCTGTGCTGTGTGATCCTAGGTGAGTAACTTGGCCCCACTTTCTTCACTGTGAAAAAGGTCCTAATTCTCGGGGCCATTTGGAGCCCCCCAGCCCCACCCCGCAAGAGGATGTCCAGGCCACCGTGGGGACAAGCTGAGAAGCTCCGCAATGTCATTCTCTCTGCTCCCAAACTGACACAAGCTATGCAGCGTCTGTGGACGGACAGATTCCGGGTAGATCAGGAAAAGCTCTGAGAAATCAGAATTTCCACTGCTAACTTTGTTATGACCTCCCTTTTTTGTATAATCATAATATCAAAAATGTTGTAGCAACATCAGTTTGTAACTGGATTGCCTGAGCTCTAAATTGGCTACCTGGCCTGGGCAAAGTACGAGCTGAGCTGCTCCAGGGCAGGAAATTCCTTTGAAGACAAAAGGCAAGCTCCTGGAGAGAGAAGACCCTGAGCAGCAAGACTCCTGGAAGCTTCCCTTGGTCTTTTGAAACAAATAACGAATCTGAGATAACTCCCAGGGCATAAGGACCCATGAGCAATTTCCTAACATTACTGACACGGGCTTTGCTTAATGCATAACTATGTGACTTCCTCTCAATTTACTCCTTTCCTAAAACAATCACTAACTGCTCTCTGCTAGTCTTAACTAACCTTTCCCTCAAACAAACACTAGCTACTCTGCCATTAGCTCTTCTTTAGACTCTCACTGATGACTCTGCTAACACAGTTTATTCCTTCCCCAGGACTCCTACGTCCCCTGCTAACAGCTCATCCCTCCCAGACCCTGGTCCTGTGAAGCCACAGCTACACATCCGCATACATGAAAGCCATCGGAGATGTACAGTCCAGTGGGCCCTCAAGTGTCCGGAGGGGGGCGCATTGTTCCCCTCTTCCTTTACAACTTTTAGGCTGATTTCTTATTAACTTAGCTGATGCATTATTGTAACTAACTCTTGCTAAACAGTATAAATAAAGACCTGCAAAAAGAAGAGCAGGAAGACTTGTACCTCCGACTTGTAACTCCGAATCCCGCGTCTTCCTTGCTCCCCTTTCCCCTTTTTCTCCTTCTCCCCTTTTTTAGGAATCTCCGCTCGCGGACCCTTCCCACCTCAGGGTCCTGCCTGTCTTGCCTCCAGACACCTCCATAGTTGGAGCTGGTCTCCAATACCAAACATCCCCCACCGGCCCCTCCTGGAGGGCCAGGCTGGAGTCCAGGGCCACTGCAGGGAAACAGGGGTGATCGGCAGTTCCCTGGGGTCACCAGACTTCAGAGACACACAGACTATCAGGGCCAGAGGAGCCGGGACTGCGTGACCGCCATGTGGCCATTTTCCAGGTGAGGAGACCGAGCCTCATGGGCAGGGGTGGGTTAGCCGGACACCGCAGGGTCAGGACTGGACCCCGCTGCCCCGGCGGGAGAGCCTGCGTGGTGAACAGCGCTGCTGATTCTGGCAGGACTCAGGGGAAGCCAGCGCCTGGGCGTCCGGGGAGGGGCTGACCTTGGTGCAGAGGCTCCAGGCAGGGAGCCACAGTTGCTGAGCACCCTTGGGTGCTCAGCACTGTCCCAGGGCCTTTGTACTCCCATCATCTCAGAGCGCCTGGGAAGGTGTTCTATCACTGTCCCCATTCCACAAGGAAACAGACCCAGCTGGGGGTGGCCTGCCAAGGGTCACATGGCCACTCCTGGGGGCGTTTGCAGCCATCTTGGTGGCCTCTTTCTGCACTCTGGGACTGCAGGCCGGGAGTGGCTGAGGACCGAAACAGGGCTCCACCCAGCCCCAGCCCGGGAAGGAAGCTCGGTTCAAAGAACCCAGACACCTGGCTCCGCCAGGTCGGGATCCGCCCCGCCAGGTCGGGCGGGGACCACTGCTGGTATCCGGGCCAGTGCTCACGGGCTCCCGGGCAGGGTGATGGGATAAGCTTTGCCTTTAGAAAGGGCCCCTGCTGGGGGCCTCCGGGTGGAAGACCCCTGGAGCAGGGTCCCTGGAGCAGGGGATATTGGGGGTGCCCAGAGGAGGGCGGCTGGGGGGGAGGGGGCCAGGGGGGTGCCAGAGGGCTGTAAGCACAGAGGGGCTGCAAGGAGGCTGGCACAGTGAGGAACCGCATGTCCTTGGTGGCTGGGAGCCTGGGTCAGGGCCGGAAAGGGTGGCAGGGCCCCGGCGCGCCCAGCTAGGGCGGGTGTCACCATGCTGTGAGGATTTGGGCTTGATCTGTCAGTTCACAGAGGAAGATGAGACTCGGTTCTGGCCCAGCCAACCTAAAGCAACCCTGTGCTGTTCCTCCCCTCAGAGAGGGCCACGGGCTGAGACCCCCATGGCAGGTCTGGGCCCTGCGCCCGGCAGTTGCTGGCACAGCTGATCTGTGGGGCCTGCATGGCAGCAGGCAGCCCTGTCCTGCAAACCCTGCCAGTCTGGTGCCCCCCACCCCGCCTGAGCCAGAGACCCTAGGCGCCTGGCTTCCCCAACGGCTTGCTCTCTGGCTCCCCGCGGCCCCCTGCCAAGGGCTTGGTGTGACACCTCCCTGCCAAGGATGCGCCAAGGATGCTTGGAGCAGGGACCCGTCTGGGTGCTTGTCCAGGGCTGAGTGACTTCGCTGGGTGACGAAGGAGGGCGGGACGGGGCACGGTGCGAGTGCGGGTCCCTCTGAGCCTGGGGTCCTGCACCCCTGCAGATGGCACAGCCAGGAAGCCGGGCCCCCGTCTGGGACATCTGTCCATCCCGCACAGCTGGCCAGGACAACTGCGTGCCAGGGCCTGGCTCCCAGCTGGAACTAGGGGACCCCACCACAGAGGAGGCGCCCCCGATGAGCCCGGCTCCCGTCTCTTGTGGAAAGGGAAACTGAAGTCGGGGGGGAAATGCTTGCTCTGAGGTCTTTCCGCAAGCAGCCCTCACCCCACGGGACAGGCAGTGGCAGGAAGACAGCACTTCCTGGAGACAGTGGCCCTCTGCCTGACCGCGCCAGCTGTCCCGGCACAGGGGGGGCCCCGCGGCGAGTGGTGTACAGAGAGGGGCGCATGTCGGGTCTGAGGTGGGCAGAAATTAGCACTGCTTTCTCCCAGGGCCTTCCCCCTGCCTGGGTCAGATGCCGAGGCAGGTATTGCCAGCTGACAATACTGTGACTCTGAGTGTGTGTGTGTGGGAGGGGGGGAGAGCCCCTCAGCGTCCCCCTCGGGGAATAATAACACCCCCCTCTAGAGAGGTCAAGCGAGGTCCCAGTGTGACCTTCCTGGCCGAGGCCAGCACACAGTAGGTCCTCTCTAGCTAGACCTGACCGGTCCTCCTACGGCTTCTGCACCAGGCCAATTCCAAACACACCTACTGTGTGTAAGACAAGGCAAGACTGTACTGTGCTGAGCTGACCTGGCGCCCTGAGGAGAAGTGGGGGTGCTCCTTGCCCGCGTGGGCTCCTGGTCTTGCACAAGTTCAGAGAGTGGCACTCTGGGGAGTGAGTGACCCCTTCAGGCTACACCAGAAGGGCTTCCTGGAGGAGGGGGCACTGCATCCGGGTCTGGGGGCCTCACACTTGTGGATGTGGGAAGGAAAGGCAGCCCAGGCAGAGGGAGCAGCCTGAGCAAAGGCCCGGAGGTGGAAGCGCCAGGGGCATTGGGTGACCAGCCGGAGGCCGCCGTGGAGAGCACAGGAAGCTGAGCACTGGGCCCTGACGGGAAGGCGCTCCAGACCACGCGGGCCCAGTGCCCGCCGCCTAAGCTGCAGGTTTCCCATGAGAAATGGGGCGCTGAGGTCTGGTGTGTGTGTTGGCGGGAGGGGGCTGGTGCTTTCCCACACACCCCACCCCCCGATTCTGCCTCCCGGGGCTCCAGATGGCTCTGCCCTCCCCTACACGCGTGGCCACCTCCTCCCTCTCCCCCTCCCCTCCACTCTTCAGAGGCAGCCCTCTCCCACCTCCCTCTGCCAAGAGACAGCCCGCCCCATGTGCCACATCGGGGAGGCGCAGGGCAGGCGGGCTGGCGCCCCGTTTCCCAAGCCTGCCGGGGACTCACACGGTGGGGATGTACTCTCCTGGGAAGGCATTGGTGGTGTAGCTGATGAGGAGACAGGTCTTGCCCACAGCTCTGAAAGACAGAAGTTTGAGAAACAGTGGTCACAATACGGTCCAGACACAGGAGCTTCTGCACACCCCCACTCAGCCTCGGGGAGGGCCTGGGGAGGGCCTCCGCACCACGCAGACCCAGCCCTCAGGCCTGGCCTCCCGGCCTGAGGGGCCAGGCCCCCACATCATCCGGGTACTTTGGGCGCCCACCCCAGCGACTCCAGTCCACAAGTTTGGGGCTGAGGCGGGACCTCTGTTATCTCCCAGGTGACATCAAGGTGAGACAAAGTGAAGGACAGCAGACACCAGTCTAAAAATGGTCAGGAACCTCTACAAAGAGGACAGAGAGATGGCCAGAGGTGCCTGAAGAGATGTATGTTGTCTCCTGTTACTGGGGAAATGCAAGTGAAAACAGTGAGACTCCACCACACACCTGTCAGACAGCTACTATCAAAAACGACAGGAAACAAACTGGTGAGGATGAGGAAGAAAGAGGGGAGGCCCGTGCACTGGTGTGGGAGTGGAAGCCGGGGGGCAGCAACACAGAGCAGCACGAGGGGCCTCCGGAAATTACAAACAGAAACGCCATAGGATCCTGTTATCCCACTTCCAGGTATTTATCTGGAGAATGTGAAACACTAATTCAGAGAGCTATCTGCACCCCTAAGTCCATCACAACATATTTCACAATAGCTATGAGCGGGAAACAACCTAAGTGCCCGTCCACAAATAAATGAGTGGATAAAGGAAGTGTGGTGTGTTTGCCTGCGGAATACTACTCTGCTGTGAAAAAGAAAAGACGAAATGCTGCCTCTTAGAACAACATGGGTGGACTGAGACGGATATGCTCAGTGAAGTAAGCAGACAGAGAAAGATAAGCATGATTTTACTCCGAGGTGGTAGAAATAGAAACAAAACTAATGAACAGACAAGCTTAGACCATGTAGTTACCAAAGGAAAGAGGAAAGAGGGCTGTGTGTAACCAGGTAAAAAAGGTCAGCTGTGTGCAACTAGACACTATCGGTTATGTGGTCGGTAAAGATGTTGACTTAGAAGGCTGTGCACCTGAAACCCCTAAAATGTTAAAAACCAATGTTACTTCAAGAAAAAAATTTTTTTTTTCAACAAAAGAGCAGGGGTTTCCAGGGCCCCCTCCCGGGATAATGCTGAGGGCCCGTGGAACCTGGCCAGACTCTGCCTTCCTGCTCCTGGGCATCAGATCCCACCTACCAGTGGCCACCTTCAGGCAAGTCATTTTGTTAAGGGGAAGGCTGTCCCAGAGGAACTCTGCAGAGTCTTGTGGACCCCACCCCCTGCTCCGGCTTTCTGGACCCTACACCCTACTCCAGTGATTGGAAACTACAACTCCCAGCAGCATCAGGGAGAGAACTGCGAGGACCCAAGGGCGGAGCTAGCAGGAATTCTGGGACAATGGGGGATAAATAGTGAGGAGTTTTCCAACTGACACTCTGGAGAGGTAACGGCTCTCTCTCTCTCTGGAGCAACTGCTGAGACTGTGACTGGGGCAGCCTGAGTTTGGGACTAGACCTCCAAGATAGCAGGCGCTGGTAAAGGATTCCAGCTACTTTGTATCCCTCTCCCTTTCCCTGGGTTGTTTCCTTTTCCTTTCCCCTTTTTTAAAATAATAAACCCATGACCCTTTCTGTGTGCCTGCAGAAAATTACATTTTGAGCTCGCCGGTGAGGCCCCGTAGACAGGCAGTCCAAGTCCACTCTGGACTACCCTGTAACAGTTTTACCTGTCTATGCCTCAGTTTACCCACCTAGAAAATGGGGATGAGCACATCTTCATAGGAAGTGTGCAGAGAAGTCCGTACACGAAGCTCACAAGGAAAGTGGGCCAGCGTCTGGCGAGCATGGCAGCCAGTAAACACTGGGGGAGGACTGGCTCTCCTCTGCCCCTCGTGCCTTCGGGAGAATAGCAGCAAAGGACACAGCTTTGGAGTCAGAGTTCAAATCCCAGCAGGTGTTGGCAAACTACTTAGCGTCTCTGAGCGCTGGTTTTCCCATATGTACGTGGGCCTAATGTCGGGGTGTGTGTGTGTGCGGGGGGGTGTGCCTGACACATAGTAAGTGCTAAATAAACAGAGGTTGCGATGACTGGGTGTCACCCCCTCCTCAGCCTGCTGGCCGGGGCGGAGCTCAGGTGGCCCAGAGGAAGTGGGAGGCCGAGGGGCAGCCCTGGGCCTTCCCCCACTCTTGGGTTTCGTCACTTCCCGCTCTGGTGGCTGGGTACCCTCCCCTCCCAGCCATGCCCTCTGTGGAGCACCAAGGTAAATGACTATGGGACGTTCTCGGCTTCCTCCCACCTCTCCTCAGAGAGGACGGAAAGCAGAAGTGGTGAGGCTGGGCAGGAGGGCAGATAACAGCCAGCAGGCACGCATCAGAGTCAGCTGAGGGCTCCTGATAACTGTCCTGCAGCCGAGACTGCAGGGCCAGCTGGGCCTTGGCCAGCAAAGGTGGGGTCTCCCGGGCCTCGGGCTGCCCAGTTAGAGCACACTGGGTGGGCCACCGAAGGCCCAGCACAGACCTGCGGCTGGACCCTGGCAGACCTGGCATGTCCCAGATGAGGAGCCTGAGGCAAGAAGGTCTGGCTCTGAGAAGACCCCTCAGCCCAGCCTGCCCCAAGTTGACCCCCACAGCCACCCTCTCGTCCCCTCCTCCTTCCTTCCCTAACACTGTCTCTCAGTGCTCCCCTTCTGTCCCCCACCCAAGTCCCCCAAATATCCCGTGCAGCCTAGTGGGGGTGGGGGAGGTGGCAGGGGAGGGCGGGCAAAGGAGGTTCACAGTCCTGGAGTGTCCAGAACCTCTCAAGCAACCCCACAGCTGCTGTCCCCAGAGGCTGAGCTACGGCCCACAGCGGTGCCGTGATGTGCCCAAGGTCACGCACATAGCCCAGGTCAGCCCGGGTACAAAGGCCAGATTCTTGGCACCACCCACAGAGGTGAAGACTGGGGTCCCCCAGAGGCTGACCCGCGCTCTCCAGTGGTGTCCCCAGCCCCCTACCTGGGCCTTACACCCGCCACCCAGGCAGCTTCCGGGTGAGGGGGTCGAGAGGGAAGCTGTCCTCAGCCCAGCCTAGAAGGTTCTCCGGCCCTGGGAGAAGAAGGAGCAGCCTTCCTGGTTGCCCCCCAGGGGTCCCCACATCGGTGGGGGGTGGGGGGGTCTTCCTCCGGGGGGAGGGCCCGGGCGCCCGGAGCGGGCTGCGCGGCAGGTACCTACCCATCTCCCACCACCACACACTTGATGGCCTGCATCGTGTCAGGAGCCGGGGCAGCGGCGGTGGGAGCTCAGGGCAGGAGCCTCTCTGCGGCCTCCGGGGGTGAGGAGAGGCTGATGAAGCACAGAGCTGCAGCAGGACAAGATGCAGGAGGAAGCGGAAGGGGAACTTACCCAAGTTGCTGCCCCAGCCGTTTGCTCAGGGCGGAGCATGCGGTCTGACAGGCAAGCTGGGGGGAGGCTCAGGTGCCAGCCTGGGCCAGGCAGCCCCTGTCCGAGGCATGGGCGGGACACCGGGGAGCCTCTGGTGGTGCTGTCTGCGGGGCAAAGCCAGAGCTGGTCTCCAGGTTAGGGCTTCTGAGCTTTCAGTTCGCGTAAAGGTTTATTTATTTATGCACGCAGAGCTGGGTACAGGCCACAGGTGCAGGGGCGGAGACAGGATTCACCAGAGACAGAGCGGGGAGTCTCTCCTCAGAAGGACACTGCTGAGGGGAGCGGCGGGAAGACAGGAGAGGTCTGCCGCACCTTGTGGGTCCCCTCCGGGGCTGGGGATTGAACTCACGCTGCAGACAGCTTCACAGCGGTGCGCTTTGACCCGTTGGGCCACCAGGGGGCCTCAGTGCTAAGCCATGTGCCCGAAAGGGGCTCCCACTGTGCCCCAGGCAGTTTGGGGAGCTGGCAGATCCAGGAAGCAGGGGATAAAGCTGACCCCTGGGGAAGAGCTGGCCCCACCCCACCAGGGTGTAGGTTTCGCTGCGCGGGGAGGTCTGCCGACACCCTGCCAGGTGGCTTTGCAGGAAAGGCGGCCTCCCAAGGCCGGTGAGTGAGGAAGCCGGCAGCCTGCTGCAGGCACCCAGGTGGGAAGCACCTCCAGGTCTCCAGGCCAGGTCAAGAGGGCCTTGTGTCCCCCGGACTGCCCCCAGGCCTTTCCCCCACAGGCCATCTCTGGGCTTTATTCTGGTGCTCCCCTGGCTCGCAGCCTTTCAACCCACAGCTAGCCTGCAGGGCAACCCCAGGTTAATCTAGAATAAACCTCATGCAATGTGGCTTCTGGGCTGGATCCTGGAACAGAGAACAAAACAAAACATACTCGGAAAAATAATAAATCAAAAGACAGTAAATCAAATCGAATCTGAAACTGAGTCAACAACACTGTATCACTCTCTCACTGCTTAGTTTTGACAAAAGTTTCTCGGACCTGTACACGATGTTGCCGTAAAGGGAAACTCGGGGAAGCATGCACGTGAACGCCTGTACTCTCTCGGCCACACTTCTGTAAATCCAAAATGAGTCTAGACTGAAATTTGGACTGTGTCGAGAAGAAGGAACTCCAGGAGGCACAGCCGTGACTATGACCACACAGCCGGAGCCAGCACTGGGTGCTGGGCTTTGTCCCCCACTCACCGCCAGCACAGCTTCCTCGTGCAGCGCACAGCCTGCCCACCACACATGGCCGCGGGAGCCCTGAGATTGCACCTCCTTCCTGAGAAAGCCGTTTCCCCAGGACAGCCCCAACAGAAAGTCTCCCTGGCTGAAGCCGTCCAACTCGCTGCTGCTCTGATGAGCTCCGCCGGGTGTGTGAAGCTCTGGCCTTGGTTCTGCCCAAGTGGCTTTAAAAGCCGGAGACAGCCCCCCTTGGTATTCCCTGATGTGCAGTGGCGCTGGGCTGTGTGGCCAGGCCAGGGTTGGCAGGGGAACAAGCAGGGTGTGGCAGCCTGGCCCACAGCAGCCCTGGGCGCCGGGCTGCAAAGACGGGAGCCTCCAGCAAAGCCAGCACAGCGCGTGACCAGTAGAGGTGTCCACTGTCCCCCACTTTACATAGAAGGAAACTGAGCTGCAGTCCCTGACCCGCCCAGGAACACACACTGTAGCCGGTACATTGGAGTGAAGTCAGGTCTTCAATGCCCTCATTTCACAGGTGGGGAAACTGAGGCCCTGGTCCAGGTGACCTAACCCTGATGTAGCCGCCCTGGCTTGTCCACCTTCTTCACCTTTTCTTTGCCTTCTTTTTTTTTTTTTCTCCAAGTGTCTAGGCTGAGATACTAATCTCTTTGAGCGAATATACATCTTTCACTGGGCAGATAGAAGCACCTATACAGCCATGATCAAGATACAGAGAACATCACAGAATATTTCATCACACAGCACAGGCACACATACTCACACATGCACACCCCATTCGCCCACAAGCTCAGCTCTGCTTCCTGTCACTACAGATTACATTTTCCAGAATCTCACGTACGTGGGAGAAGCCTCTTGCAAGAAGCTTCCTCCACCATGCTGTTGAGACAGACGGTGGTGTGGAGCCACAGAGCATGCCCCTCTCGTTCGTGAACCTTGTTCCTTCCCAGAATCTGTCACTGCTTGCTTATTCATTCAGACCTGTCCTCTGGACCACATGCTGCAAACCCACTGAGTCATAGACCACGGGGCTTCTGGTGAGCAGAGAGACCATGAGGGCCATCTTTAGCCTGCTGCCTGGGAGACCAGTGCTTGCTTCATACTTCCAAAGACAGAGAACTTGTTCCCTTAGGAGACAGTCTTCCATCCTGGGACAGCCGGGCCTGTGAGAAAACCCTTCTCTATTTTCAGAACAAACACCCCACAGATGTCTGAGTTCTGGTCTGGGATCACCTGGCTAGTCAGATCCCTCCTCCCTACCACAAGGGGGAGATGTAGCCCCCGCCCAGCAGAGTGGGGGCAAATGTTGAACTTCTTGGTCTAGCTGAGTCATTTTTAGCTGGTGTGTAATATTCCAATATACACCTGTATTTATCCAATCTTCAGTCAATCGGCTTATGGCTTGTAATGTTTGCTTTACAAATAGTCTTGTGGGCTTCTAAAGGTTTCTTGGCAGGTGGGACTGTGCAGCTGTCCTATCCATTGTCTCCTTTTGGGGGGTGTCTGCCTTTGTCTTAGATGTGTTTGGAAAGTTCTTTATATATTCTGATTTCCAAACTTAAGTTACATATGCATTGCAAATATTTCTTCCAGTTTCTGTGATGCTTATAATCGGATAACAGAATTTTTCCTTGAATACAGCCTGGCTTAAGCATTCATTCCCAAGAACCTATGTTCTGGGTTAGTCTTCCTTAAGAAGCCCTTCTCTCTTCCCAGTTTTATAAAAATCACTTCCCTTGTTTTCTTGCAAAGCTTTGAAGAGTTTGCCTGCCATTTAGGTCTTGACACTCTTGGGGTGGATTTTAGTGTGTGGGGAGAGATGGACTCTTCAATTTTTGTGAGATATGGATTTAATTTTGTCCTCTCCACGATCGATTTCTCCCCACACTGTCTGAGGCGCTCATAACAACCGTAGTCTGTTCCCAGCCTCTCTGCCCACCTGCCCACTGGCCCACAAAGCTGGTGCCTTTAATTCCAGAAATCCTATGGCAGATCTTTATAACTTTTTCCAATTTTATCATCACTGGCCGTTTGCTCTTTCATATAAGTTTTAGAATAAGCTTGCCAAGACCCAAGAACAATCATGTCAGAATGCTGATTAAAATTCTATTCAATTTATAGGGGGACCTGGGGAGAATTGACTCTAACATGCAGCCTTCCAACCCATTCACATGGTGTATTTCTTCTTTATATCTTTTAATCAAGTTTTACAATCCCCCCCAGAAAGGTCACCCACATTTCCTCATGAGATTTATCACCTAGTACCTTATTACTTTCTGTGCCATTGTAACTAACACTTTAAAATTCCATTTCTGTGTGTGGCTTCTATGCAAGGAAAGGGTGAAATTTTGCATACTTTGCATACTGGACTGATATATATGGCGACCTGGATGGAAATTCTTATAATTGATCTAGAACATTTGCTTCTCAGATGTCAAACTGTCTTTGCAGACGGTGTTATCAATTGTGGCGATGACAGTTTTATTTCTACCTCCCCCATGTTTACAACAGCAATTCTTTGGAACTGTCTGGGGCCTTTACAGCAATATTGTGGGGTCACAACCCAGGCTCAGCCCTGATGTAATATGAAGCGGCTCCATAGGAAGGGGGCAGGGAGAGACACCCCACACTGGCTGGCAGGCAGGTAGCTGTACTGAACAAAGGGGAGTCCCACCATGTGCCCCCTCCCAGCCCAGCCCACAAGTCGCGAATGTCTTCACAGAGACTTCAACTGTGTCTGTCGCCCACGCAGTGCAGAGGCTTCAGCCACACTGGCCATGCCCACATCTGCCCCCAAGCTGCGTCCTGCCGGCCTTCAGGGGTGCTCTTTCCAGGGGGCAAGGCTATAAGCACCTTCCAAAGGAAGGGGGCGCGGAAGCCTGGGTTTGCCCCGCCTGAGTCAGCACTTCTGAAGCCTCCGGACAGGCGGGGGGGCCAGAGCGTGGCAACATCAACGTCTGACTACTGATCTTATTTTTATTTTCCGCACCCCCACACCCCTTGACCCTTTCTCTGTCCCGCCCACCTCTTATTTTCCAAAACAGAGAAGCTGCAGGAAGTT